ATCAATTAAAAGAACTGCATAATATCACGACTGACTGACTCAATAATACTGTACGGACAATATCGTATTAATGTTGTTAATGTTGAATTAGTCGTTTCCGATAATCGATGGTAATCGATAACCATCGATACATCAATCATTATCGATTCTATCGGAAATCAATATTAATCGAATTCACAACGTTTTTTCTCTACCGATTTCTATCGATTGATATAGGAAATCAATATTCATCGATGATTGATATCGATTATTATCGATTATCGGTTTATCGATTAACTACGTCTGGAGTAAAATGACTGGGACCAACACCAGGTATTCGGCTAAGAGAGGTGTCCGTTACGATAGAGTTGACTGCGTGCTAATAATTCAAAATGTTCGACACCTTGGTTGTGCAGTCAGTGTGCAGTACTACATGGGCGAAAAGTAAATTCAAACGCTTAATTGTGCGTGATTCGTAAAAGGTTTGTTTTAATTCCCGAGAACCGTGCATCAGCACTGGGTCTAGTTGTTTTCTTATCAGTCGAATGTTGATTTATTACGGATCAATTGACATGCAGATTTAGTAGAGAGAAGTGGTAAAGTCCCATACATATGGTTAGCAACTAGTAAACAAAATGATACATACGGTCAAGAAAAGAAAATAGAATCAATCGACTGGAAACCATACTCTTGCATAATCAAATGAAACATAGCGTAAAGAATTAATCCTAAAGCGAAGCGAATCGGTGGAACAAACCAAAGCCTTAACTCCGGCTTACCAAATACGATTGATTAAGTGTTGCTACTCTCTCTCTTTTTTTTAAAGAGAGGTTAGAGAGCATTGTATACAAGAGCCCCTGGCTCGGGAGACTGGCCGACCACTCTCCATCTGATCGACAATAAATAAAGTTCATTCATTCATCCATTCATTAAGAGACTTTTTGATTCGGTAAACACTATTAGTCTAAGTTAGGCAGCAGTTGGAAGAGGAATGGGTGGCCTTCCAGACCTCTGCATAAGTGGAATGATTTAAGAATATAAATGTTCCTCTAGTGTACCATTTATGCTTCCATGAAACTGTTTATGAAAAATCGTGTTCTAGATAAGCGTTGGGCAAACTGAAACTGATGTTATCGTCTTCAACTGGTTGTATCTTAATAAAAATGAGTAAGTAATGTTTTAGGATCGTAACGGTACCTTTTTGAATACGCAAATTTCTCCCTCTTGAAGTTGCTAAGGAAATTCATGTCAGCGACTGAACTGACGGCTCCAAGTTTCCGCGTAGTTACAGCGCTCTGGTCCGTAACACGTAGCTGCTTGAGGGTGTTGTGTGGTTTCTATCTACGGAAGGCGAAGATGGCAAAAACTTTGCTGGCTTTTTTGTCTTTGGTTATCCCCCACGTTGTTTATTCAGGTAAGCCAATCTAAATTTGATGACGTTTCTTTGTTCCACGTGCATTTTACTGCGAGTGTAATGCTCTGTCCACCAGAAAGCTGTAAAGATCAACAAGAGAAGTCAGCTTGAAATAAATAAATAAATTGAGAGTAAAATCGCAATACAACCGAAAGCAAACTGTGGAAAAGATTGTGCAAAAATACGCCAGTCAAACAGTACCAACTAGGGAAAAAAAATGAGACGGATCACTAATTAAAAGGCTGCATTAGTAGGGAAAGATTAAAGTTGTACAATATGTTGCTTAAAAAAATAGCCTACCTCCAATTTTGTTTCGTCGGAGTTTTTGGTTGTCCATAGAGAATTCAAGTTATCCTGAAAAGAGACGAACAATCCAACTACAAAAATATTATTGACTGGAGTTTGAACGGGCTTGAAAGTCAAGACTGCTGAGCCGAAGAATTTTATTGAAGGTAATGAAGTCAGTAAAGCTAAGAGTTTTCTACCACTGTATCACACCAAAGGTATGAAGTGCACACAAACAAAGACCTCAGGCGATATTTATATCAACCTAGGATCGATCCTCGTGATTTTTTGAGAAAATGTAAACTACTATCACTGACAGCGAGAGTTAAGAATTTTTTTTACTTACAGCTGTGAAAATAAGAGCAAAGATTTCGATTAACAAAGAAGCGCAATGCTCTAAATCTATTTCACAAGAAGAACTAACATAAATTTCTAATTAAGCTGAGTAGTGTAGAAGCTGCTCAGAGGGTCCCTCCTATATAATTGGTCGCAGGAAACAATGACTTGTCATTCTTCCAATCATAGTTATTAGAGGAGACTGGTTATGAAAAGCGTGAAAAAAACAACAGTGCTGCAGTTTATGTTGGAAGCGCCCTGAAAGTGCACAATCCTTTGTTTTCTCTTGGCAAATTGTTACGGAATAAATTAATGCAACGTTTTTACTGGTCAATACAATCAAAATGATAGGAATTCTTTTGAACGTTGTGCACTTTCATAGCCTGCGTAGCAGGCGCTTAGAAGTGGTGGGCATAAGAAAAAACGGGCGCGGCGTGTCTCCCTCGCGCGCGCCCGTTCTCTCTTTCGCCCACAACTTCCAAGCGCCTGCTACGCAGGCTAGCACTTTCAGGTCCACAAAAACATATAACAAGGGAGTCTGATGGGTTTCATAACCATTCCACTCAATTAACTATGTTCCAATTAAGCAGCTGCTACATGACCTAAAGCTACAATCGGCGACAAAATTAGTTGAAACACTTCGTCCTGAAGGGGCTTTCTAACGCTTTATATATGTAGAAGAGCCATAATGGGACAGAGACAGAAACGCCCAGTCTAGCCCGTGGGATATGTGAATTTCACTAAAGTTATTTTTAAACTAATTAAACGCTTGAATTAATCGGAAATTGGTTTCCCGAGAGGTCCGCAAACTTTTATTCAGCGCTGTCAAGAAATAATGGCGTCCTGCGTAGTGGTGCGTTTCATCGACGAAAGTGATTTTGTAAACAAAGGAATTGGTTTTATCTTGAGGGATTGTTCCGGTTGGGAGCTAGATTCCACGATTTCGTTGGAGTTGACTGATTTGCTAGATGATATATCAGTTTTAGGAGGTTCGCGGACAGCGATCCTAATCACCGAAATTTCAATTTCGGTTCTGGAACCTCGGCAGGAAGAAAAAACAACAGCAAACGGCAAATAGAGGAGTGGGAATAATTGTTGCACAAAACAATCAAAGCAGCCAAACGTCAATTCTAGTGAAGCGACGTCGACGCGCAATTCGAACGAAAACGCTAAAATGCAAGCAAATCACAGCAGAAATCAAAACAGGAAAGCAGCAGAGGGGCTGTTAGAAGGACAAGAAAGTAAACTTAGTTCCATGTGTTAGAACGTCGTATCAGAACAGCTCTAACAAGACTAACAATAATTCATGAAAAATTTGGAAACCAGTTGAAAGCTAATGGCTAATCGAAGAAATAGTCGACGCTCAGAACATTGTATCTGGAATTTGTTTCTTCAGTTGCAGAGGACGCAAACAAAATCCGTCAAGTTCATTTGACATTCGAGGTTGTGGGCCCAGCGTGTCAAAACATTCCAGGAAACCATCACATTCGCGGACAAATGAAATCGCTTTTAGTTACTCAGATCCAGGAGGCACTTTGGAGAAAATTAAACAACCTAAAACCCTTATTTAGCCTCAACAAATCATCGCTTATCCTACGCTTGCGAGAAGGAACGCTAACTTCAGTTTCTTGAAATGAAATGCGCTCATCAGACTCATCTAAAATACTGATGCCGAAATCTAAACGCCTGTAAATCTCACTGGAAAAGGTTATGTTCAATATTCAACAGTTGATCGCCATTACAATATTCTGCAAACAATCAATTAAAATGTGCGGACGTCCCAGGAATTAGACATCCGTTTAATTACAACCTCTAAATATAACTTTAGTGAAATTCACATATCCCGGCCAACGCCCTAAGATTCCCTCTTTGTCCTATTATGGCTCTTGATATGTACTGACTTTCAGAGGGAAAATAAAGCTTTCCCTCCCGCATCTCCTCCACGCAATGTTGTGCCGCTGTTCGAGCTACCTACAGATAACAACAAACACCCCAACTTTGAATAACGGGAAGGAGCGAGGGGTGTGAATTATTTGTTCTCTGCAGTTACCCCATTTGAGTTCATTTTCTCAACAATTTTGTCGCCGATTGAAGATATAGCGGTGTCTGCGTGTTTTTATCCCGCCTCTTTGAGGAGTAGTTAAGGACAAGGTTAATGCTCGGAACCGTCCTCGTCTCGGCGCCGTAAAATGTCTTTTGTCAAACAACGCTAGCTTCCGCTAGTGTTATTAGGTTGTCTTAAGTATCTTTTCAAACTTAAAGTCACTCAAGCAGAATTCACTGCAAAATTTTAGTTAACTGAAGACGAAATTCATCTAAAACGGGTCGCCTCTGTTATTGGTCATTTGTTTCAACTAACCTATGCCCAGCCTAGCCTCCTCCGCAGGCTTCACTGTCCTGAGAACGAGTGGGAGGATGGAAAGAGAACAGGGAGTGACCTTGATATTGCCCGTTGTCCGCGCGGTCTGAAACGTCACAATTCACAGTAGAGTCCAGGATTGACCGAGGCAAGAACGCCTAGTCCCTAAGTCTCATTATTCCGCGCGGTCAATGCTTTTTTGACCGAGAAGACCTGGGAAATGCCGTACAGGGACTAGACAAGGGCCGACCTGGACCTGTTCCAAACAAGGTTTGTGATTGGCTAGGAAAACAATAGGGATGGTGACATAACAATGCTCCTATCCCTGAAAACAATAGGTAATACAGGTTATAGGGACCAATGAAATAAGAGGTTTTGGATGCGTCCAGGTCAATCGCTAGACAAGCCTATGGCTGCGCTTATTTTGCGCCACCGGTTCATTCGCACCCAGGAAGTAAAGGTAAACCAGTGCAATGCGGCTGCGCCATTCCTCATCGGAGTCAAAAGGAGCATTCTTGGGGACATGTGACCTGTGGGGAGTAAGTCTGTAGTAAAATTTTAACTTCAGTTTTTTTTTTAGCTCCGATCAGCTTCTGATGGTGCGTACTTAGCGCTGCAGAGGAGAACATGTGTACCGATTTTATGATGTACGTGAACGAAACTGCCCAAAATAAAAGTTTGGATGTGGATGTAGGCTGCGTTGAAGAAAATTCAGTTGATGATTGCGTGGCCAAGATAAAAAGTGACGAAGCTGATCTTATGACACTAAAGGGCGCTGACATGTACAAAGCAGGTACTGGATAGCATTCTATGGTTCGATATGGTGAATAATTTTAACGACCTTGCATCCCATGTAAAAACGCTCAGAACTGAGCTACCCTGACTAACCGCCCCTGCCCACGAACCCCCAGGAAAGGGAATATAATGGGTACACACCGACTCAGTTTATTCTCACGATCGGCCACACCTTTAAAATCCCTTTCTCTTTCAGCTTTCTTCGTGAATTTATTTTTTTCTTTTTTATAGATACGCAAACTAATAACGAAAAAATGCATCATGGATGGCATTCTAATATTTGCTTATTATTCAGGGAAGACGGGTAATCTGGTGCCTATTGTTTCCGAACAATATGAATTGTCAAAAGTGCGGTATTATGCAGTTGCTGCGGTGAAAAGGGCTAACCGAGATGTCAATATAACCACACTCAAAGGAAAGAAGTCCTGCCATACTGGGACCCGCCCAAGAAATGCTGGCTGGAATATACCTATTGGATTTCTTCTGAGCTCAAAAATTATTCCAGAAGTAGCCTGTGGAAACATGAACCATGATTTAATCTCTGCGGGAAAGTTCTTCAATCAAAGCTGTGTTCAGGTAAGTGTTACAGTCCCCCCCCCCCCGGGGGGCGGAAGGGAGGACTCAAGGAAGTTTTATACGGGTAGGCAACGCCCCAGCTTCCAACCCCTTTCCCTTTCATATACCATTTTTACAGAAAAGGTACCCCTTCGGTATATACCTTCTATTTACAAATGGTACGCCTTTCACATACCTAGTTTCAAGCACGGTATTTCTCTTACCAGAAGGTTTTCTTGTCTCTGTCACATCCATAAAGTGCGTC